GTACTACATATGAAACTACCTTTTGATGAAGTAGATACAAAAGTATTTGCAAAAAAAAAAATAGTCTATTTCATTCAGATAAACAATTTATATGATTTACTTTCATAGAAATAAGTAATATATGGTTAGTATAGGGAAAAAAAAGGAAAATGATAACCATGATTTATATATTTATAAAGTGCAATGAATAATAAACTTACCATTCCTTTTTGCTTTCATCCTTTATTGAATCAATGATATATTTAGTCAGGTAAGATGAATATGCAGACTGGTCAGTACAAATGTACTTTAGCTTAAGTTGATAATAACATGTTAATCAAGACATGATAGATGAATGGTAAACTAGTTGAAATGATATAATACTAATGTTAAGACAGAAAGACTAAATGATAAGAATATAGATTGAAAAGGTATTTATGAAAGAATGCTGGAATTCTGATTCATATGTCCTCGTCGTACCTCCTGGATTATGGCAACTATTCCATGTACTAACGTTAGTGGTAATGTGGGTGTTGGAGATCGGCCTAATCAACTACTATATATATACTTGCAAATGATTACGAATGCTACAATGAGTGGTAAAAAATGAGTCTGCCCAATAAAAAAAATTGAATGTGAGTGTTATGTAATGGTTCTGTGTAAGCAGTGAAGAAACAGCTATCACGTCCCGGTAGTTGTGTCGTGCTTCGATGTAGCGCTCTTCTCGAGATGGGCCTACTAGGCTTTACCATTCTTATGGCTATGGCTAAGATTAGAATAGATAGAAGTTTATTAGCACAGATGATAAGCCCCTTAAATATCCTGGTAAGTTCGAGGGTGAAGAGAGGTCGCTCTCCCCCTTGAAATGTTCTTTCATAGCCATGTGTATACAGACACTGATAGTGAAGTCCTACTCATTGCCTTTTCACTAAATGAGTGTTGTTTACGAAATTGAAAAGACGGAAAATGAATGTCTGGTGTACGAGTCGGATTGTTGAGTATCCACCTAGAGGAGTTGGAAAACACTGATTCCAAACTAGTGGTGAACGGGGTCTTTAGAATCCTGATGGAACGAATGGTGTATGAACCTATTGTTGATCATCTGCTACCATGAGACTACATCTCCTAACGTTGCTCTATTGAATTTTGGATTAGAGGTCTAGGTGAAAGGCTCGGGGAGTGCCCCCCCCCCCAAGAAAATCAGTTGTTTCAGTTTGGCCACCCGGACAGTATTCCAGCTCTCACCTAAATCAAATGAAGTGTGGCGCATATATATATTTGATACCTCATTGTATCAATATTTGTGCATCGCATTACTACTTACTCCTGTTACTCCCAATGGAGCATAGGCCGCCGACCGGAATTCTCCAACCCACTCTGTCCTAGGCTACCAATATTTATGGGTTTAAATAAATAAATAAACAAATACAAGTAGTTAGCACTATGAAATCCCGAATAGAAATCAACAATGGAAGGTATTTGTTATGTTAGCTACTTGATTAACGCATAATACGGTACACAACTACGGCACTCGAACGTATGGAACCCAACAGTTTCAAAACCAAAAGACAGAAGAAAACTGGAGAAGTGTTTGTTGGGTAAGAATCAAGAGATACAGAAAATCATGAGTATATATCCCGGAAGTTACCCGTACTTATATCATCACTAAGATATGGCAGAAACTACATTTAGCATTTAATCATGCAAATGAACCTAATTCACTGAATACAGAATAAATTCCTAAGTACTTCCACTCTCTTGAAATAAAATAATCTTGTTTTATTTCATATTCTATTTTCGATTACATTAGAGAAATAATAAACAGGTGAAAAAGACAAGTATGTCTAAGTGACGAGTCCAAAATAGAACGAAACGCGCTTCAAACTGGATTCCACTGCTAGCCACTATCTGTCTTTGCTTACCATGCTTGTGACTTTAGGCGGTATCGAGGGAATACGCACAGTATGCACATATGTCAATAATAAAGAGCCTGACCAGTTACAGTCCTAAACATCAATGGGAAGATTCAAACAAACAATACCAAGTGAATTTCATTAGATAGATATTTGCTGAGACAAATGGAAAATTCTATCACCCCAGCCAACTTGTTTGGACTTCTTCACGGTAATAATCAAAATCAAAAACATGAAACAAATATAGACCGTCTTTTTTTAACAATCATATCAAAACTGATACTACGTTAAACAATCATATTTGAATGTTGAATTTTTATAAACAGGATAACATGAGTCAATTGAAGCTAGACCACTATGGAAAACCTGGAAGCACTAGACGGCCACCTCGTCCTAGTATGGGACTCCTCAGCAGTGCGCATCCACGATCCTGCCTCGCGAGCGGGATTCAAACCCAGTACCTACCAGTCTAGCGCGCGAAAGCTTAACCACTAGACTACTGAGCCGGCCGGCATCCAACAGTGTCAATGTCTAACTTCAATCAATCCACGAAGTTGAGCAACAGATCACCAATGTCTTCACTGAGTTACTATCTCACAACAGACCTGGTTGAACTTCACCGGTCATTGCTTCTCATTAGAATTCCAGACAATATCTCTTGAAGTGCTTCCAGATTTTCCATGGTTGTCTAGCCTCAATTAACTCATGACTTCAACTATAAAATTACTGAAATCTCTACAAAAACCCCTTCTGAAGATAACTTAATTCAGTCAAATGAGAATCAAGTAAAAAGTTCACTATATAAAATAAAAGAAGACTGGATGAATTGTGTGTGTGATGTATGTGTAAGAATGGGCTATTCATGAATGATATTCGCTGTGTTGATATGTTTCTATATGAAGTAAAAAAGTGCAAAGTTAATGTTTGAAAAATTGTTTTTGAATAATTGAATTGTAAGTAAAAATGAGAATCATTATGTACATAATAAGCAAAGATGGATAGTGGCTAGCAGTGAAATCCAGGAAGCGTGTTTCGTCCTATTTTCGGACTCGTCACTAGCTGGATGTACCTGCATCTCAGAGTTGATGTTCACAAAACTCATATTGATTTGAGTGAAAATAATGATTCATTTGAAAAAAACAGGTTGAGTAAAGAAAGAAAGGGTTGAATTACTTGTCAATGAGTATTTACCAAATAGTTGCTAGCTAGATATTATCCTTTCTGTTAAGGCTGTTCTTATTCGCCCATATATATATCGCTTCTTCTGTCAATCATTCTTTATGAGTGTTGAAACCTTTCTGAAGTATTTTGGCCCCTTCATTGTAATGCAGCTTATACTGGAGAAACATCCAGACAATTGAATGTAAAGTTGAAAGAACACAAACAGTGTTTGAAAAATGTTCCCATAACCTCGGTTAGTATAAGGAAACTTGAGAATAAGTCTACAATAGCGTTACATGCGTTAGAAACAGGACACAAGATTAATTTTGAAGGGAATTATTTCAAATATAATTTTCACATATAATGACTGCATCATGAAGCAATCCCTAACTTGGAATCCTGAAGAGAAGCAGAAAAGTGGAAGGCCAAATAACACATTACATCGGGAAATAGAAGCAGATATGAAAATGGGCAAATGTTAACTGGGAAGAAATGGAAAGGATTGTTCAGGAAAGAGTTGGATGGAGAATGCTGGTGTGAGGCCTATCCTCCTCCACGAGGAGCAACACGCGAAAGTAAGTAAGTAAGTAAGTATTCATTCTAATCTTGATGAATATTCATATAAATCATGAATAGTATTCTAAATCAATTTAGATAAACCATTTTTCATTTCCCTTAGAAGCAAAAAAGAAAAAGAAAAAAAAGAAAACTATATCCAACGAACGACCAGTTTTCACATGTGCAAATATCCTTATATCCCTTTTACTATATTTTCACATTTTCCCTGTTTTTTTTACATCATCGACATACACATATATACATACACACCTACACCAAATAATTTTCACATATAATGACTGCATCATGAAGCAATCCCTAACTTGGAATCCTGAAGAGAAGTGAAAAAGTGGAAGGCCAAAGAACACATTATGCCAGGAAATAGAAGCAGATATGAAAAGCAGGAATATTAACTGGAAAGGATTGCCCAGGACAGGGTTAGATGTAGAATACTGGTTGGCGGCCTATCGTCCTCCACTAGGGGTAATACGCGAAAGTAGTATTGTAAATCAATTTAGATAAACCATTTTTCATTTACCTTGGAAACAAAATAGATAAGAAAACTATATCCAACGAATGACTAGTTTTCACATGTGCAAATATCCTTATATCCCTTTTACTATATTTTCACATTTTCCCTATTTTTTTTATAGTTTTTTTTTACATCATCAACATACAGAAACATGCACACATACACACACACACACATCTACACACCTACACCAAGTAATTAAACTTAACTTTATATTGGTTCAATAGATTCGAATTAAAGTTTAAAACATTCATTAAAAAAAAATGTACAATCTATATTTTTACATGTTATAGGGTAATATTCAATTTGAAAATTTCCCAGTTAGTTAAAAATATACAAAACAGTTTAAAATAATCTCCAACAGATACAATTTATTGATTCAGTTTTTTTTTGTGGTGTACATGTAGCGCAAATGTGCGTATGTGCGAGTATTAATTTATTGAATATTGAAGCACATCTATCTTTATATATATATATAAGGGATTTGCGTGGGCGGTTGTTATCGGTTTTAATTCATTAGTTCCCCCCCCCTACATATATCTTTAATTTCTGATATATTCAAAAATTTTCGCGGTTTATTTAAAAGAGTAGATACTAACTAGAACAACAACAGTAACAACCACAGCAACAATTTATCGAATTTAGAAGCACAACTATATATATATATATATATATATATATAAGGGATTTGCGTGGGTGGTTACTATTGGTTTTAATTCATTGGTTTCCACTTAAATATATATAAATATATCTCTTTAATTTCGAATAGTCTTATAAAATTTTTGCAGTTTCTTTAAAAGAATAAATACTAACCCCAGCAAACAACTCTATCAACAACCATAGCAACAACAACAACAATGACAATTGAATTACCTGAAGTAACTGGTGGTCCAACATGGATACGTAAAATGCGTACATTATTTCATCGTCTTGATACATCAGGACATGGTTATTTAATGGTTGATGATATATTAGAAATTGGTACATCATTATTTAATATTTATCCTAAAATGTTATCATATAAATATGATGAATTAGTAAAAACATTAGTTTATTTATGGTATGATGTAATATGTATCCATGTGCCAAGGCAGTTAGCAACTACTATTACTATAAATGAAAATTTATTTATAGAAAATTTATTAAAATCATTAAAGGGGGAGTTACATAAAAATTTTAATGAAAAATTTATTGAACCATTATTTAATTCAATAGATCAAGATAATGATCAATTAATTACATTATCAGAATTTCAATCATTAATGTTATCATGGAAATCAATACCAAAAAATTGTGAATTAATTTTTCGTTACTATAGTGATAAAAATAAATTATCTAAAGAAAATTTTTTAAAAATTTTTATTGATTTTTTTATATTAGATAATTCTAAAAGTAATATAAATCAATTATGGGGATTATTAATTAATTATAAACGTGCTGAAGATTATGGTATTATAGATTGTGGTCCTGTATGGGAAAGTAAAATACGTACAATGTATAGACGTTTAGATATAAATGAAACAATGAAATTAAGATGTCATGATTTATTACAAATTGGACAATTTTTAATACAACGTACACATTTAGATAGACGTCGAGCAGATGCTGTAATGCGTTCTATGTTACATATATGGGTGAAATTTTTGGCTATAGATAAAAATGGTAAGTAGATGATTGTTGTTCTTTTATATGTTTTTAACTAGTTGCGATCATAAGTTGATTGAAGCTAGACCATCATGGAGAATCTGAAAGCACCGGATGGTCATTTCTTCTTACTGTGGGACTCCTCAGCGGCTGTGCATATCCACGATCACACATCTCGGTAGATTCCAATCCAGGATCTATTAGTCTCGCATACGAGCGCTTAACCACTAGACCACTGAGTTGGCCGGCATCCAACAGTGTTAATGTCTAACTTCAACTAATCCACGAAATCGAGCAACCATTAATTAATTATAAACGTGCTGAAGATTATGGTATTATAGATTGTGGTCCTGTATGGGAAAGTAAAATACGTACAATGTATAGACGTTTAGATATAAATGAAACAATGAAATTAAGATGTCATGATTTATTACAAATTGGACAATTTTTAATACAACGTACACATTTAGATAGACGTCGAGCAGATGCTGTAATGCGTTCTATGTTACATATATGGGTGAAATTTTTGGCTATAGATAAAAATGGTAAGTAGATGATTGTTGTTCTTTTATTTGTTTTTTAAATAGTTGCGATCATAAGTTGATTGAAGCTAGACCATCATGGAGAATCTGAAAGCACCGGATGGTCATTTCTTCTTACTGTGGGACTCCTCAGCGGCTGTGCATATCCACGATCCCACCTCGAGAGATTTGAACTCAGCCACTAGACCACTGAGCTGGCCGACATCCAATGGTGTTTTTGTCTCACTTTAACTAATCCATGAAATTGAGCGACAAATCCACCATTGTCTTCAGTGAGTTACTATCTCACAACAAACCTCGTTGAACTCCACTGGTTACTGCTTCTCATTAGAACTCTAAGAAATACCTCTTGAAGCCAATCACTAGTGAGCATATATGAAGTAATATCAGAAGGGATTTTTGTGGATATTATAGTAATTTTAATAGTTGAGATCATGAATCAATTAAAGCTAGACCATCATTGAAAACCTGAAAGCACTGGATGGGCGTTTTGTCCCATTGAGGGACTTGTCATCAGTGCACTTGCACGATGTCATATATCTAGAGATTCGAACCCAGGACTTATCAGTCTGGTGCATGAGCGCTTAACCACTAGACCACTAAGTCGACTCATGATCTCAACGATTAAAATTACTATAATATCCACAAAAGATTCTTCTGATATTATTTGTTTTTGTTTAAAATTTTGTCTTGTGATGGTGGAGAAAATTTGTAGCTGAAGTGGACGGTTCGGTTATAGAACTTTCATCGTTCTTCTGAATGACATCATCAGCATAAATTTCTATATTAACCCTAAACTATTCAGCTCAGAGAATAAAACTCCGTCAAAATTTCGTCTTGATAAATATATGTATTATTGAGATATTATTCATTTAAAAAATCTTTCTAAACACAATAAACTAACGTTCCATAATAGGACAAAACGGCCGTCCAGTGCTTCCAGGTTTTCCATGATGGTCTAGATTCAATTAACTCACGCTTTCAACTATGAAAATATTAACTCTCCACCGAAACCCTTTCGGAACTTATTTACTTAAAAATATAAATTATCTTGTAAGATCTGGACAATTTGGGTTCGATTTCTCAAGGAATGTTGAATATTGAAAAGTTTTACAATAGAACAAGAGAGTTACCTAATGCTTCTTGAGTCTTAGTAACTGTCTAGTTCAAGTTGGTACTTCCCCGAGGAAAACACTGACCATCGAACTCTATCTTCAATACTGTGTAATTATATGTTCATTAAAGAAATGAAGAAAATGAATTACTTCTAATAAGACTTTGACAGTATGTTTGTCCTTAGAATTTCATATCATTAAATTGTCAATAAACTGTATTGGGTTACAGAGATTATATCGATATATTTTATACCCTAAATAAAAGTAGTTGAATGCTGATTCAGTGATTCAGAGGTTAAGTGTTCGTGCGTTAGACCGAAAGTTCCGAGTTGGAATACCTCATAGTAATTATTCGTAGGTGCTGAGGAGTTACATACTACAACGAAATGACCGTCCAGTACTTTCAAGTTCTCAATAGTGATCTAACAGTGATTGATTCATGATTTCAATCATAAGTAAAAGTCTTTTATAGATACCCAGTTTAAAGATGGACTTTTCAAGATTAAACTTTATTTTAAGGAAACAATAATTCTTACCGATGCTAATGACGTTATATAGGTTAAGTCTTTGGAATATACCGATTCATCTACCGCAAAGTATTTTCTTCCTTTGCACATATTTAAGACTAAACATTATGGATTTCATTGTGTGTGTGTGAGAGAGTGTGTGGGTATTAGTGTACACTGTTACGTTCTTTCTCCAACTAGTATCAACCTGTATTGTTATTAATGGCTTTATTCAATATTATACTTGTAGTACAATATAGAATTCACAGTATAAAGTATTTCAACGGGTTTACATTTCTTGATCGACTCGGACAATAAACATGAAATGGTTGCCAGTTAGATGTTTGAAGTCCAGGAATCGACATTTGAATATAATTACATTCTTTACAATGCATATTGTCAGCAACAACGAAATCTCTGATTGGGCCCTTTTGTAACTTCTACAGCGTAATGTTGTAAACTTTTCATAATTTTATTTTATTTATACACATAAATATTGGCACAATGAGGTACCAGATATATATGCGCCACACAAATCAAATGAGATTTATGTGAGGGCTGTGATACTGCCCAGGTGCCCAGACTGAAACAAGTGATTTTCTTAGGGGGCCACACCCGGAGCCGTTGACCTAAAGGTCTAACCCACAAGGCAGTGGAGCATCGTGAGGAGATGCAGTCCAATGGTAGCCGGTGACTAACAATAGGTTCATACGCCATTCGTTCCATCAGGATCCTGGAGCCCATGTACACCATTGGTTTGGAATGAGGATTTTCCAACTCCCCTAGGTGAACCCGGTTAAAGCGCCGGACATTCGCTTTTGGTTCTCTCACTTTTGTGAAAAACACCCGTGGTGTGAATAGGCAGTGAGTAGGACTTCCCTAGCAGAGTCTGTATACGCATGGCCATGTGAGAGCATTTCGAGAGGGAGAGCGTACTCTTCCCACTCTCGGCGGTACCAGGGCATTTTGGGGGCAAACTTTTCATAAACCCTTCTGAATAGATTATGAGACTAAGAGACATATTAATGTGTTAAAACAAACTTCTTGAAATATCCATATGGTAAAGAACAGATAGCTCATATATTCAAGCAGGTCTCCTTCTGTATGAGAAGTATCTTTATACATTTAATTGTGATTAGGTGAAATGGAAACGTTTACTCAATGAATTTTATTGTGTAACAATCTTTGAGAAGTTATAAAGTTTTATATTTGATCTATGACATTATTTTGTTTGCATTGACTATTACTGCTATTTGTATTTGAGATACTACTGAAATTCACGGGGGGTCAATGAATAGTCTCTTTCATTCTTGTATGAGTTCTTAAAGAACTTGTGACTGATTGAGTTCATAAATTTTGGAAATGGAAAATATCGTCATTAATGCTGTCAACTGAAGCCGGAAGCGTATATCACTAACGTGACTTATCAGTTGATAGCTTGCGAATGGGTCTTGGGTTCATAATGAGATCATGGCTACGTACTTCAGGTCAGTCTCGTGCTAGATTAAAGCAGCTATTCAGTCACTTCTGATTTTTGGCGGTGCCTCACCTGTAAGAAATCTATGTCAAAGATCACCTTCAGAATATAATTTAATATAAATATTTAGCATCTATTTTACTGATGTCAAGAAATCTCTTAACTACAAACTGTAGTTTAATCCATTTGTTTATTATTATTGTTAGTGATTAAGGGGGAGAGATTTAAGTTCCCCCAGTGGGGAGTAATATCTTATTAAAGTTAATGTATAGTAATCTTAACGTCATGTGATGCTAAATTACAATTTTAAAGTTGATCTTATAGGGTTTCATAAAGGTTGGTAATGTTAACAACAAAAGTTCTATGTCAATATAATAGTGAAATGAAAACAAAATGTAAAGTTATAAAAGTGTAACCAGAAATTTTAGGGCATTTTAAGTCATATAGTTTATGATAAGACATATGTATGTGGATGCGCACTACTGAGGAGTCCCATAATAGGACGAAACGGTCGTCCAGTGCTTCCAGGTTTTCCATGATGGTCTATCTTCAATCAACTCATGATTTCAACTATGAAAATATGTATCAATTGTTGATCTTACCCTTGTTCTTACTTACTTATTTATGCTTGTTACTCCTAATGGAGCATAGACTGACGATCAACATTCTACAACCCACTGTGTACTGGGTCTTCCTTTCTAGTTCTATCCAATTGTCGTTCATTCTTATCATGTCTGTTTCCATTTCTTAGTATAATGTGTTCTTTGGTCTTCCGCTTTCCCTTTGAACTTGAAGATTTTATGTGGGGGCTTGCCTTGTGATACAGTTGGGTTCTTTCCTCAACATGTGTACTATCCACTTCCGGCGCTTCTTCTTGATTTCTCCTCCACTGGAATCTGGTTTGTTCTCTCCCACAATAGAATGTTGCTGGCAGTGTCTGGCCAATGGATCCGAAGTATTTTTTGTAGACAACTGTTAATAAACACCTGAATGTTCTGGATGATGGTTTCCGTAGTTCTCCACGTCTCCGCCCCTTACAGTAGAACTGTCTTCACATTTATATTGAAAATTCTGATCTTGATGTTGGTTGAAAGACAGTTGTTTTGAGTTGCAGATGTTCTTCAGTTGTACCTATGCTGTTCTTGCTTTCTCGATCCGCTTCTTCATATCTGCATCTGATTTACCGCGTTCATCAATGATGCTGTCGAATTATGTAAAGGTTTTTACATCCTCCAAAGCTTCTCCGTGAAGTGTAATTCGACTGGTGCATGCTATATTATATCGAAGGGTCTTGTTTTTCCATTTGCTTATATTGAGATCTACTGCTGCTGAGGATAGTTTAAGTACCCTGCTTAATAGTTAAACAATAAGAATATAGACATAGATCCTAATGGTTACCACTCTTCATTCTTTGTCCGGATATAGCATTTTCTTTTCCAAAAACGTAGAAGATTAAACATACTACTGAAGTTACTATCTTCATTTGAATTGGCTTATTGTATTTAGTATTTATTTACCATTTATATTCATAAATTAATAACTAAAACCTTCCAGGCATGCAACAGGCTGAGTACCCTTACTTACTTAATTACTTATGCCTGTTACTCCCGATGGAGTATAGGCCACCGATCAGCATTCTACAACACATTCTGTACTTTGTCTTCTTTCCTAGTTCTATCCGATTTTTGATCATTCTTCACATCAGAGAGGGTTTTGTGGAGAATTTAGTATTTTCATAGTTGAAATCATGAGTCAATTGAAGCTAGACCACCATCGAAAACCTTGAACCACTGGACGGCCGTTTCGTTCTATTATGGAACTCCTCAGCAGTGCGCATCCACGATCCTTCACATGTCTGTCTCAATACTACTGAAGTTACTATCTTCATTTGAATTGGCTTATTGTATCTAGTATTTATTTTCTATTGATATTCCCTAAATTGTTAACTAAAGACAACCATACAATGTTTTCCTACACATTCCTATGTGTCAATACCAGGGGTATTCTGTTTGTCAGTTTGTTTGTTTGCATTAGTTTATGTAATTTGTGAATCTCTTTTTTGTGTTATTGATAAGGTGAATATCTAAAATGTTATTGTAATGTATTACAATATCTAGGTTATTTCATTCAAATATATAAAAGGTTAATAGTCAAATGACTTTTGGCAATAACTATCTTTCTTTTTTAATGAATAGATAATTAGTTATAAAAGAATAATATCCACAATAAAAAAATGATTAGATAGTAACTTACTGAAGACAATGGTGGACGGTTGCTCGATCTCGTGGATTGGTTTAAGTTTGACATTAACTCCGTTGGATGCCGGCCGGCTCAGTGGTCTAGAGGCTAAGCTCTCGCGCGCGAGACTCATAAGTTCTGAGTTCGAATCCCGTGATGCGGGATTGTGGATGCGCACTATTGAAGAGTTCCACAATAGGACGAAACGGCCATGTAGTGATTCCAGGTTTTCCATGATGGTCTAGCTTCAATTAATTAATGAATTCAATTAGAAAATTTTTAAAATCTTCATTAAATCCCTTCTGATAAAAAATGATCCATTTTTAATAAAATGGGATAGTGAATAATAATAGAATCCGAGAGAAAGTAAATGTGTGTTTCATTTTAGTTAGAACTTATCAATTGGTTATACTTCTACCTTAGTGTTGGTTTCCACACTGGGGATCAGACGTAGTACCTTTCTCTTAAAATTCCAATGTGTTTTACACTAAACTACTGAATGCAGATGATTATAAGATTTTTAATTGAGATCATGAATCGATTGATGTTTGACCATCATTAAAAATCTGAAAGTACTGGACAACCGTTTCGTGCTAGTCTGGTACTCCTCAGCAGTGACATCCGAACCCAGGACTTTCCGTATTGTGCACGAACGCTTAAACTCTAGTTCACTGATCCGGTATCCACAAAATTGCACGATCACCTTCCATACTGGGATGAAACGGGCGTCTAGTGCTTCCACGTTTTCCATAGTGGTCATCAATCGATTCATGATGTCAATCAAAAAGTCAACAGTCTCCACAACTCTATTACTGATAATCATAAAATTGTTTAATGAGAATGAATGTTGCTTTTAAAAGTTTGAATTACCCCCTTATTGATATAAAAAGACTTTAACTGACTAGTTTGTTTTGTCGAATGATGATCGTCAGCAGATCGTTTGTCTTCGTGGCTAGAAGTAGAATTCAGGACATGAATTTCATCCTATTAAAAACGTAGTAGTAATATTAACACAATTACTTCAGGTTATACATTTCACCGAAGGAAATGGATCTATTACATCCATTTATAAAAGCAACAGGAAAATATAAACCTTTGCAAATTAAGAAAAAGGATATCCAGTAGAGAGAAGATTTTTTTGTTAGATTGTTTCTATTAGAAGGACAATACACTACATTATAAGCAAAGATGGATAGTGTCTAGCCGTGGAATCCAGTTTGACGCGCGTTTCGTCCTATTTGGGACTCGTCAGTTGGATGTACCTGCATCTCAGACTTGTTGATGTTCACTTTGAGACTCGAACCCAGTACCTTCCGCTTCAAATGCCATCGCGTTATCCACTCAGTCCCAGAGTGAACAACAACTCTGAGATACAGGTATATCCAGCTGACGAGTCCCAGATAGGACGAAACGCGCGTCAAACTGGATTCCACTGTTAGACACTATCCATCTTTGCTTATCATTGAATAATGTAGTTCATTATCAGTAATATCATATAATAGGTTGTGTATTTTCCTGAAGTATACTAAGTTTCTATAAACAAAAGTTAATTGATAATAGACAATTAATAAGTGTAGTGTATCGAAAGTCTAACCTAAAATGAAGTTCTTTAAACCTATCTCATTCATTATGATAATAGAAGATGTTACAATCAAACTATTTTATAAGATGTCATTGTCAATTAGACTAGTGAATACATTGCATATCAACATAAACAATTCGAACATTACTGACTTCAAGAGGTATTTCTTGGAATTCTAGTGTGAATCAGTAACCAGTGGAGTTCAACCGGGTCTGGTGTGAGGTAGTAACTTACTGAATACATTGGTGAACGGTTGCTAAACTTCGTGGCTTGGTTGAAGTTAGACATTAACACCGTTGAATGTCGGCCTGCTCAGTGGTCTATCGGTTAAGTGCTCGTACATGAGAATGATCCTGGGCTGGAATCTTGCGATGCGGGATCATGGATGAGCACTGCACCGAGGAGTCGCACAATAGGACGAAACGGTTGTCCAGTGCCTTCAGGTTTTCCATGGTTGTCTAGCTTCAATTAACTCATGAATTCAACTATATCACATTACTAAATTCTCTACAAAACCCCCTTCTGATAAAGACAAATTGACAAGGATACAATTGATGACTATTATTCGATAATCAATAATCAATAATCAATAGTTTTATGATTATATTTACATTTCTTTTTCAGGTGAACATTTAGATGAAATACGTGAAATTGAATTTGTTCACAATATGAGAGAAATGATTAATGGTGAATATCGTCATGAAATTGATCAATTTGGATGGACATTTTTTAAAGCTATAGAAATTGATAATAGCGGTTATATATCACAAGCATCATATCGTATATTACAAGAAGCATGGCATGTTGGAAGAGATGAAGCTGAAGCAATGTTTAAAGTAAGTTTAAATTAGGAAATAAATATTAGTTATCAGAAAGGGGGTTTTGTGTGTATTATAGTAGTTTTAATAGTTGAGTTCATGAGCCAATTGAAGCTAGATCACCATGGGAAACCTGGAAGTAATGGACTGCCGTTTCGTCCTATTGTGGGACCCTCTGACAGTACACATCCACGATCCCGCCTCGCGAGCGGGATTCAAACCCAGGATATATCAGTCTCGCTCGCGAACGCTTAGAGTTTAGTGATTGGCTCCAAGAGATAGTTCCTGGAGTTCTAGTAAGAAACAGTGAACAGTGGAGTTCAACTGGGCCTGTTGTGAGATATCAACTGATTGAAGACATTGGTGAATGGTTGCTTAATTTCGTGGATTGGTTGAAGTTAGACATCAACACTATTGGATGCTGGCGCTCACTCGTGAGACTGAAGGATCCTGAGTTCGAATCTACAGAGATGTGGGATCGTGGATGCTTACTGCTGAGGCGTCCCATAATAGGACGAAAAGGCCGTTTAGTGCTTTCAGGTTTCCATGGTTGTCCAGCTACAATTAACTCATGAATTCAACTATAACATCCACAAAAACCCCTTTTGATATTAATCAATATATGCTCACTAGTGACTGACTTCAAGAGGTATTTTCTGGAATTCTAGTGTGAAGCAGTAACCGGTGGAGTTCAACCAGGTCTGTTGTGATATATCAACTCACTGAAGACAATGGTGGATGGTTGCTCAATTTCGTGGATTAGTTGAAATGAGACATAAACACCATTGGATACCTGCCAGCTCAGTGGTCTAGTGGTTAAGCGCTCGCGCGCGAAAGCTTATCCTCTAGACCACTGAGCTGGAATCTGTTAGTGTTAATGTTATGTTTTTGACCTAGGCTGTAGCCAATTGTTATGACTTGACCAAGGTCGTCGCTGATTCGTTATGACCTTACGAATTTAACAAGGACGTAATTCTCGTAAATGATCCACCAATAGAATACGCCTTCTACGACCTTCACACTGTGACAATGACATTCGATTAATATGAGTAATCTAGCGTCCTTATTGGTCCTTATCCGCCCAACCCGTCCACTTTAGTCCAAAACACCAATATCAGCCTCGGCAATACGAATCTATGTAAATCGTTTATTTCAAGCATACTTTGTTTATATAACAGACAGACAGGCCACATCATACCATAAAATAGAGAATAATATTTGTACAAAACCAAGCCAAATGTGGTTGTGAACGTGGGAGACAATAATCATATAAACTGAGTATAACTTAGGAACAGTAAACCATACAATAATAATCAATGGGCCAAAATGAAGCTTACAATAAAATGAATATAGATATAGATAATCTAGTTACCGAATAGTTATACAATAAGAATGATAGTCCAATAGTAGGTCCTGCAAGTCACCCGTACTTATGTCTTCGCTACTACATAACAGTTAATGTCTAACTTCAACCAATCCACGAAATTGAGTTAAACAATATTTTGAGTTTTTTTCTTTTTGAATACTATCTAACAATTAAAATCAGTATACATAACTCAAAGTATGAAGAGTTCTACAACTCGGTATAAATATGTCGGTAAGTGTATAATAAATTGACAATCTTCAGTTATCTATCAACCAGTCAACATAGATTGATCTTATTCATCAACTTCATAGGTTAAATTATTCTTTGCAGTAGAAGAAAAAAGATTGAGTTATGCATATTAGGAGTAGGGTTAGTGTTGTGAGTTAGGATTATCACCTAATAGAGTTGTTGTCAACCATTAACTTTTGAGATGGGTTTAAAAATAAGGGTTAGAGTATTCATTACGAAGTGACATCAACTATGATGCAATGAATTATCACTTTTATCTTCCCTAACTTAAGAAACTTAGGGTTGGAATTTAAGGTGAGGGTTAGAGTGGGAGAAGTATTTCCTGAAATCCCAGTGAGAAGCAATGACCAGTGGAGTTCAACCAGGTCTGTTATGAGATAGTAACTCACTAATAAGAATAGTGGACGATGGTAAAATTTCGTGGATTGGTTGAACTTAGACATAAACACCGTTGGATGCCGGCCAGCTCAGTGGTCTATCGGGTTGGCATTTAAGGTGATGGTTAGAGTGGGTGAATATATTCTAGCTTCATGAAGCACAGTTGACTATGCATTGAATCATATTAAGAACTTAAAAATAATTTGCACCATTAGCAGGGATGTTTTTATAGTTTAGCTTAAGCATCATCTTAAATTTATTTTTTAGTTAAATGGTAGATAATTTTGTTGATTTCAAGCATTTTGAAGACCAAATATTGCCAATATTTACATCCAGTGGTAGCTATCATTGCCTGAGGGAGAGTGAGGGCATACAACCACCTCTCTTCATTGTTCTACTGAAGCAGTGGGGTTAGACAGGGTTGCTCAAACTCATAATTCTTCTTCAACTTTTCTATCAGTGACGTTCTGGAAATAGCCGTGATGAATGTAGGTAATGGTGGTGTTGATCTGTTGCCAAAAGAAAGACCTCTCGACCGTGAATATGCAGATGATATTGTCTAACTTTGCTATAATACCTAAGTCATGCAATCCACACTTAATTATTTGACAATTAATGTTCGTAGGCATGATATGTTTTTTGCACCTTTGAAGAGCAAAGTTCTTTTACAAGACTGGTAGGAACCTGATCCTGCACTCACCCTCGGTAGGAAGCAGATAGAAGTGGTTGAGAAGTTTCTGTATCTGATTAGCTACATAAGTGCTGGTCTTGGCGTTAGTGGTGAGATCAATTCATGTATAATGAAAGCCAGAGTGGCTTATGCCAATCTGACCCATCTTTGACTGCTTCGTGATCTTAGTCCGGCTGTAAAAGTTCGAATCTACAACACGTCAGTGGTAGAAGTTTTGCTCTATGCTTGTGAGATCTGGTCTCTCCGAGTTGAGGGTGTTAGAAGACCCTCGGTGTTTGATCATTATTGTCTCCGAATAATTGGTGACATCCAGTGGCAATGATATGTTAGTAATGCAGAGGTTCAGCATCGTGTGTTCGTGCGCAGAGACGATAATTCATTTGGTGTCACTCACTATCTTGAAACATCGACTTCAGTGACTTGGACATGTCCTACGAATGTCGTCAGAGAATTCCATGCTGTGCATTATTTGCAGACGCTGGGACCGGTTGGAAAAAGCAGAGAGGTGGTCAGTGTTTGACGTCGTGTCGTAGTATGAAAGGAAGCTGTACAGTACTGGTTTCTGTCGGTTATTCTTGACTTCTTGGTTGGAATCCGAGAGACGATGCAACAGTGTCTGGAGATGTGATCAGACATGACTCCGAGTAGACGTGAGTGGCGATCCTGCTGTAACTTCACTTTACTTTCTTCATAAAAAATGAATGTAACTTCTTTAACTAGAACAAAAATTCTTTCTGGTTGTACTTTTGCTAACTGAACTACTTCTTCCATTATTATTATTATTTCACTCTCATACATTAATTTCTGTCTATTATTCTTGTTTTTATGATACACACCTTACATTCCCTATCTCTTCAAAACATCATTATTATTGTATGATGTATGCATATTGCATCTGGTGCCTATTTGTACTAATATTTAAGTGTTCAAATAAATAAATCAAAACAAAAACATTTATGATTGAATTTTGAATTTGGCGCCAAAAAATATGGCGCTATCTTCATTCTGATTGGTTGATTCAGGACTATCAATGTTTTATTATTGTAGATGTTTCTAGTATTATCTAATTCATTGGTGAAATACATCACGTTAACGTATACATCAAGTAATTAGAATGATTATTTATATATAGAAATGATAACTCAGTTAATATATATATGCGCACTAGTGACTGACTTCAAGAAGTACTTCCCTGGAGTTCTAGTGAGAAGCAGTGACCAGTGGAGTTCAACTAGGTCTGTTGTGAGATAGGAACTCACTGAAGACAATTGGTGGACAGTTGCTCAACTTCATGGATTGGTTTAAGTTAGACATTAACACCATTGGATGCCGGCTCAGTGGTCTAGTGGTTAAGTGCTCTGGCGAATCTCTCGAGGCGAGGTCGTGGATACACACTGCTGGGGAGTCCCACAATAGGACGAAACGGCCGTCCAGTGTTTCCAGTTTTCTAACTTTTGTCTAGCTTCGATTGACTCATGCTTTCATCTATGAAAATATTTGGGAAGCTCAAGGACAAACGAAATTCAAGGCCATGAACCAATACATTGACTACTTATCGCTTCAATTAATTGTAATGAATGTCCTTAGAGAGGTTGAAGGGATCACATAGTCTATTAAAGAAATCAACATTAAATAGATATGTGAAGATATCGTTTATAATTGCTGGAGTTCAATAGACAAAACATGTTTTTTTATTTGTACTAGTCAATCACAGCTTAGATAATCTGGCTAATCAATGTGTGATAGCTTATTTAACACGAAAATTTGGCGGCACATACCTATGAAAGTTTGTAATAGATTGGGTGTAACTTATAAGAATATATTGTTATCAGAAGGGGGTTTTGTGGAGATTTCAGTAATTTGACATAGTTGAAATCATGATTCAATTGAAGCTAGGCCACCGTGGAAAATGTGGAAGCATTGGATGGCCGTTTCGTCCTATTGTGGGACTCCTCAGAAGTGCGCATCCACGATCTCGTCTCGGGAGATTCGAACTCAGGACCTATCAGTCTCGCACGCGAACACTTAACCTCTAGACCACTGAGATGGCCGGTATCCAACGGTGTTAATGATTAACTTCAACTGATCTACGAAATTGAGCGACACATCCACCATTGTCTTCAGTGAGTTAATATCTCACAACAGACCTGGTTGAACTCCACTGGTTACTGCTTCACACTAGAACTCCAGGAAATACTTCATGGAGCCAGTTACCAGTGAGCATATGATCAGTATCAGAAGGGGAGGAGGAGTCCCACAATAGGACGAAACGGCCGTCCAATGATTCCAGGTTTTCCATGGTGATCTAGCTTCAATTGGCTCATGATTTAAACTGTATGAGAATAGATTGTGTTTAAAATTTGTTTTTGTACTAAACATAATGTATACAATATGGAGTTTATCAATATGTTTATTCATCTATTAGTATCATTCCTGACACAGTATCTTCTCTATAGTTTGAAGCTTAATTATCTCTGGAGAAACGACATCTGGGAACTGGCATTGTCTCATTTTTAAATTAGAACACCCAAAAATACATTCAATAATATTATAAACGAAAATGGATTGCAGTGGAGTCCAGGACGCGCGTCTTGTTCTATTTGGGACACATCAGCCAGGTGTACATGAACTCGAGAGTCGATTTTCAATCCGACACTTGAACCTAGTACTCTGGGATGTAGATGAGGATAAACTCCGCACTCGTTGTCAGTATTTATACTATCGTAATCCACGATGGAGGGCTTGTTTCATTCTCTGTAGTTTTTGCGGTGTTATTTGAAAAGTGTTAAGTTTTCTACGACGAAAACACCGATTCATAATACTACGGACATGTCAACTTGGCAACATACATTTACATCAATATATACGTGGGACTAAGTAATGAAACTAAGGTCAAGGTCAAAATTGTGTACTTATAACCACATGCTTGTTAACAAATTGACTTAGGGTTCTTTTACAATTGAAATGACAATAACAATAATTGTGACTTGTGTACTTTATTAAATGAAAAGTGAAATGTTTAAAGAATATGTTACACACAGGGGGATAATTAGCACAATACTGATCAAACGTTTTGCGATGAATCTATGTTGTATTATATTAGGTTCAATAGGATCGTGGGAAGATTATAACTCATAAATGTTTTATAATTTTACAGTTGAATTCAAGAGTCGATTGAAGCTAGACCACCAAGGAAAACCTAAAAACACTGGACAACCTTTTCAACCTATTATGGGACTCCTCAGTGGCAGTGCGCATTCACTACCCCGCCTTGCGAGATTCGAACACAGGATCCGTCAGTCTCGCCTGCAAGCGCTTACCTTCTAGACCCCTGAGATGGCGTCCATGATAATCTAGCTTCAATTGACTAATGAATTGAACTATAAAATTACTAAAATCTTCACAAAACCCCTTCTGATTTATTATCTATTCAATCAAAGGTCATCTTTCATGTTCGAAAAATCTGGTTAATTAACATAATGTATAAATACTTGCAAACTTTGTGTAATCTGCCCAATGAATGCGTAAACTGAGTTATTAAGATTATTGACTATAGACATTAATAAATAAATAATCAAATGAATAGTCATGTTGCAAAGATGGATAGTGACTAGCAGTGGAATCCAGGAAGCGCGTTTCGTCCTATTTGGGACTCGTCAGTTGGATGTACCTGCATCTCAGACTTGATGTTCACTGTGTACTCGAACCCAGTACCTTTCGTTTCAAAAGTCATCGCGTTATCCACCTGGCCACTGAATCCTGATAGTCACTTGCTTGTGCAATGAGGTGAAGTTTAAGTTCACTTAGTATTGTTTGTTTGAATCTTCCCATTGATGTTTAGGACTGCAACTGGTCAGTCTCTAATTGGCATATGTGCATACTGTGCGTATTGCCTCGATATAGCCTTAATTCACAAGCATTATAAGCAAAGATGGCTAGTAACTAGTAGTAGAATCCAAGATGCACGTTTCGTTCTATTTTGGGGCTCGTCAGCTAAATTCACCTGCATCTCAAAGACTGACCAGTTGCAGTCCCAAGCATCAATATGAAGATTCAATTAAACAATACTAAATGAATTCATATTGATTGTTTTCAATAGATTTAATTTATTCCTTCCTTCTTTCTTATCTTTTTTCTTATTATCTCTAATTAGATATTAGATACTGATAAAGATGGTAAAATAAGTAGTGATGAATTTCTTACAGCATGGAATGATTATTTTCTTAGTGAAGATCCACAAAGTCCATATAGAATGTTTTTTGGTCCAGTTATTTCACGACCTACAGAAGCTAGATAATTTATTTAATATTCATTTATAATATTACATAACAACTTTACATATTTATCTTATTACATAATATTATCCCAAGTATTACATTATAGTTACAAACTTATATATACATCTATATATAACATTGAATTTGAAACCAAGGTATCTATCTATATATAGTTGCCAACTAATAACTTTTGTTTAAATTAGATTTCTGTTTTAGAAAAAAAAAATGGAAATTAATTATCATTTCGAAAATTCATTTTAATAAAATAAAATAAAGTATCATTTCATCTATTATTATTATTATTTTTTTTTATAAAAACAAATGTAGCGCATAAATTTGAATTTTCAATATTTCCCTCTTTTATTTTTTTTCTTCTTCCATATTTGTTTTAAATGTTTAATTTTAATTTGATCGTAAATATTATTGATTTATTTCAAATTTATTAGTGGGGCAAATTATATTTTGAAAGAAAAAATAAAAAAAATAAGAAAAAAAAACAAAAAAAATAAATAAAAAAACAAAAAAAAATAAAAAAATCAATTAATCAATTAGTAATTTGATGCATGCATTTAAATGAGTATCTAAGTAAAGCAATTCAATTATACATTATATATAAATAAAAACATATTTATTTAAAAAAAAGAAAACAACACCTTATATGATTTTTGTTTTTATATGTTTATTATTATCACTTTGTTTGTTTATTAGTGTGTGTCTGTGTTGGGGGGGGGGGGAGGAAGAGAGGATTACTAGTCAGTTGAGGCTGGATCACCATGGAAAACCTGGAAGTACTGGATGGACGTTTCGTTCTATTGTGGGATTCTTCAGTGACAGTGCACATCAATGATTTCGCCTCGCGAGATTCGAACCCAAGACATACTAGACTCGTGCCAGAGCACTTAACCAATAGACCGTCCAGTGCTTTCAAGTTTTCCATGGTATTTTAGCTTCAATTGATTCATGATTTCAACTATATAAAATTACTGAAATCTCCACAAAATCCTCTTCGGTTAATGGTTTATTTGAATTGACATATACTTTCGAAAGTATTTCCTGTATGCTATATTCTTGATTACGTTAGTAAAATTGTAATGTACTGGATTCATTATTGTTATACCTTGTGGCTGAGTGGAAGACTTGTTAATTTATGACGTGATAAAACCGCCAATCAGAGAACAGCAAATTATCGATTGGGACAGTGACACACGAAAACCATACGAGCAGTCTAGAGTGCTACTCGGTCCTGCTATCTGCCTAGCCCAACCAGTTAAGTCCATAACATCAATAACAGTCTCTGAAATATGAATCATTATTCTCAAACATACTGGGTTTATATACCAATCAAATTGACCACATCGTACCATAAAATAGAAAATAACATTTGTACAATATCCAGCCAAATGTGGCTGTGAATAGGGGGAACAGTAATTAATGAATTAGGGATAACTCAAGAAAGGTAAATCGTTTAATAATAGTCTATGGGTCAAAATAAAGCTTATGATAAAAGGGACAAGAATATGGATGCTTTAGTTATTTAACAAATATACAATAAGAAGTATACGTATCATTTTGGTCCATAAATAGTTCTTAACGTTACCATTCATCATTCTCCTCGTAATATAACACTAACTTCCAACGGGTGATCATTCAATATTTATCATCAGTATCGGTCAAGAAATAAGAAAGGGGAAGTTGTTGAAATACTTTATGTGGAGAATTCCCTCCCTCTCTCTCTCTCTATATATATATATATATATATATATATATGAAGTGAGTGCCTGAAAAGGTCGTCAACATCACTGAAAATCCATATGATGGACTACAGTGGAAAGTGGTGCATGGATGACGGCTGACAAATGCATCCCAAGTAAGGACCGGAGTCAGACAAGGCTGACTATTCTACCCCTTCTTTCTTCTGGTGGTCAACTGGATTATGAAGACTTTGACATCTGAGGGGAAGCAGGGAATAAAATGGGCAGGTTCGATGCAACTAGACTATTTAGACTTCGTAAATAACCTGGCCCTCTTATCCCACACACATCAACAAACGCAGATGAAGACAACTATTGTAGCAGCAGCTTTTGCATCAATAGGCCTCAACATACACAAAGGAAAAAGCAAGATTCTCAAATACAAATCGGAAGACACCAACACAAGTACACTTGATGGAGTAACTCTGGAAGATGTGAAATCTTTCACGTACGTCGACAGCATCATCGATGAACAATGAGAATCTGATGCAGATGTAAAGGTGAGGATTGACAAAGTAATGACAGCATTCCTACAATTGAAGAACATCTAAAACTCAAACACAACTGTTTGTCAACCAATATCAAAGTCACAATATTCAATACGAATGTCAAGACAGTTTCGCTGTGCGGAGATGAAACGTGGATAACTACCACAATCATCACGAAGAAGGCACGAGTGTTTATAAACATATGTCCACACAAGATACTCCAGATCCCTTCACCTGTTGTAATAAGCAACAACCTACTATGGGAGAGAACAAACCAACTCCCAAATGAAGAGTATCAAGACAGAATTCTTCGAAATCAAAGATAGTTTATGGGATGTTTATTTACACCTTGTAATGTTTTTTTTTCTTCTAATAAACAATTAAATAACTAAAATTGTTTTATGATTGGTTAGAAACAAGTTGGAGTGTTGTCATGGTTGTACAAAGATCGTGCCTACAAACTTACCTATTTACACTTATTAGCTCTCATCGAGGAGCATAGACCTCTCACCACCATTCTCCATACAATTCTGTCTTTGGTAATCTTTTCGAGTTCTTTCCATTTGATATTCATCATTTTGATGTCTGCTTCCAATTCCTGACGTAGTGTGTTCTTTGGACTTTCTTCTTCCCGTTTCCCTTCAGGTCTCCAAGTTAGCGCTTGCCTCGTGATTCAGCTTGACGATTTCCATAATGTATGTCCTATCCAACTACAACGTCTTTTCTTGATTTCCTATTCATTTGGGAGTTGGTTTGTTCTCTCCCATAGTAGGTTGTTGCTTATTACAACAGGTGAAGGGATCTGGAGTATCTTGTGTGGACATATGTTTATAAACACTCGTGCCTTCTTCGTGATGATTGTGGTAGTTATCCACGTTTCATCTCCGCACAGCGAAACTGTCTTGACATTCGTATTGAATATTGTGACTTTGATATTGGTTGACAAACAGTTGTGTTTGAGTTTTAGATGTTCTTCAATTGTAGGAATGCTGTCATTACTTTGTCAATCCTCACCTTTACATCTGCATCAGATTCTCATTGTTCATCGATGATGCTGTCGACGTACGTGAAAGATTTCACATCTTCCAGAGTTACTCCATCAATTGTGATTGTGCCTACAAACTACCTTTATCAAAAAGCTGTACAAATTTCATAACTATTTTAGAATAAAAGATCTTTGTTTTCATTAATCAACGATCTCATTGGCTAACAGAACCATCAAGGTTATTTTTCACATTGATGAATGATTGAGGTTTTTAAACTAAGCAATTAGATGAATGCCCATCATCATATAGTATCCAAGTTGAAATGATTCTTATTTGTTTTAATTATTTGACAATCAGTAACCAAATTATTTACCCAAGAACTGTTTAAGTCATTAACGGTTAGTAACCTTTGTGTTTGTTAACAATTCACTTGGATAAGATGGGTAATGAAAGAAATATTTTCAACAGACAAAATGTCAATTAGAGTGGTGTTAATGTTTAAAAGTTATAGAGCTTTCAGCATACAAACCAGCTTCGTGAGGGAATTCTTGGAGTTCTAGTGGGAAGTCGTGACCAGTGAAACTAATCCATATCAGGTAGAGACAGGTATCTACCTCAGTGCAATGGAAGATGGTCGAGCGATTTCGTAGATTAGTTGAGGTTAGACATTAACACCGTTGGATACCAGCTCAGTGGTCTATAGGTCAAGCTTTAATGCGTGAGACCGATAGGTCCTGGGTTTGAATCTCGCTAGCGGGATCGTGGATGCGCACTGATGAGGAGTCCCAGGCTAGGATGGAACGACCGTCCAGTGCTTCCAGGTTTTGCATGGTGGTCTAGCTTCAATTGACTCACGAATTCAACTAATAAATTACTACAATCGCTACAAAACCCCCTTTTTGATAATCATATTTATACTAAAAAATGAATAGTTTCGTCATTAGTAGATAGACAGATATGGATCGATTCAAGATCAGACTGAGGATACTATGTGATGGGCTTTTAAGTGAGAAATTGTTGGTTAATTCATTTGTTGAACAGCATTAACATCAAAGGTTTACTCTTACACTAATGATTTCATCTTTGATGCAATAAATAATAAGACTCATTTAATTTCTATTTGGTAGAACTATGTTTTTACAACCTCACTTAGCTCATTCATGGAGAATAGTCATCATACGGTAAGCTTTACTGGTCAACGTTTTATTGTTAATCGAAATTCTCCGTGAATTACAAGTGTACTATTCAAAAAATTATGTGTTTTGGATTGATATCATGAATGGATTAATGTTAGACCATTATTGAAAACCTGGAAGCATTGGATGGTCATTTCGTTCTAGTGTGGGACTCCTCAGTAAAATACATCCACAACCCCGCACATGGAACTCGGACCCAGGACCCTCGATCTCTGTTGGGTTTTCAATGGTGGTCTAAATTTGATCCATTTATGATATCAATCTAAACTCCACAATCTCCACAACCCTATACTGATATGCTTTTCGGTTAAATTTACTTGTAACATTTAGTTTTTATTACTCATGTTGGTATAGTTCACATCATTCATGAATATCCTTTGTACATAAGTGACCTCCCCAATTAAAACTAATGTTTAGATTCATTTAGTATTGTTTGTTTGGATCTTCCCATCGATGTGTTAGGATTGCACTGGTCAGTCTCTTATTGGCTTATATGTGCATACTGTACGTATTGCCTCGATATAGTCTTAATTAACAAGCATTATAAGCAATGATGAATAGTGGCTAGCAGTGGAATCCTGGACGCATGTTTCGTCCTA